CGGCTGATTTGAAAAATAAAGCAACGATGTGGAAACCGCCTTGCTGTCCTCAAAACACTGCTTTATTTAGCGTCTGTCGCGTTCTTTTGTCTGGTTGCAAGATGCCGCGTTGTCTTATCTGTGTAGGTAGAGAGAAACAGTGAAAATGCTCCGTTTCCAAACTGCACAACAAGCTGTGGTTCTGTTTCACTGCCTGCATCTCCGGGCTGTTGGTCCAGTCAGTCGTCACACTCACTGCCAGTGCTCTGTTAGGGCTATCGGTTGCCGTGCAAAAGTAATCTTCAATTAGCGGCTAATCAGCCTGGCTCCCACAGAGGTAGTCCATCTGTTCTCCGAGCCTCAGCTCCCTGGAAGGCAGGCAGCTCTGCAGCCTGTGTTGTACTTACTTAGGCGAGTGAAGAGTTTGATTATAATTTGTTCCAACAGTTCCCTGCCGTGCTATGGCAGCGTGAATTGCACTAGGCACGTGGCAAGGGACATAGAAGAGAACCAGTTTCCAAAACATCAGCACAAGCAGTCCTTCAGCTACAGAAAGTTGTGGTTGGTAATTCCAAAGTTGGTAAAGTTTGCAGCAATCATAATTAATTTAAGCTTTTGTTTTACTGTGCATACCCCCCTGCTCCCAAATGCATGCTATGCTTTGGCTGTGTGTGGATTTGGAAGTAGGATACATAGCTGTACGAGGAACTGTTTTCAATTTGGCTATTGCTACTGTCAAGTGAGCTAAATACATAAATAGGGAATCGTGAGCATATTTAATGGAGGAAAAAATTGCATTGCTGTATAAACCTGTGTTATGCAATGGTTTCTTTGTGGCATTATCAAAAACAAAAAAAAAAACTGGAAAGGCCTTGAAAACTGTGTAATTGTTCAGTATGGATGGGCTTTTTTTGAAGCTGTAATCAAGAAAGATGATACACAGGTGTGCTTCAAGTCCTGCAGTGGTTGAGGGAAGCAAAGGAGGGAGAGCATAGGGCATGTGCAAACTGACGTAACTTTCTGGGTTTTCTTGCTGGATTGTCAGGTTTAGCATATGTTCATTTCTTTCTGTTTTACAACTCTTTCACCATTAGTTGTGTTGTGTGCACGTTGTTTAACAGCTATTGTGGCACACAACAAATAGAGAAGGTAAGGAGGGATATTTAATGTTGTATGAAGTGAATTAATGCTACTAAGAGTCAGATGACTGAAATATAATTCTGCAGTTTGCTAACTGAAAAGGTCTTTTACCTTGACATGGTGCATTTTTTTTCTTCTAGTTTGCCAGTCATGTGTCCTCCGAAGATTTTCCATCCAGCCTGCCCAGCAGAAGAAGATTCCAAACCGGTATTTGGGCCAGCCCAGCCCCTTCACACACCCACACCTTCTCAAACCAGGTTAGGTTCAGGCCCTGCATGAGCCAGTTGTTGATATTCTTTCTTGCCTCTATTTTTCTGAGGTGTCTAGGACAGAGTATTGATTTGCTGCATCGTAAAGGTGTCCATGATTTGAGCTGTTTATGATTAACCTCATTAGTAATTATATTTAGTACTTAATTTCCTTGTCTGAGATGATACTGATTCCAAAAATAGGCTTCATGAGTTAGCTTTTCACCTTTTTCTCATAGAGTGTTTGTGTCACTGATTTCAGCACTGTAGATCTTTCATGGTAGTGGCACCTTGGGAGCTCATTGTCCTGCAAATACAATTTATATTAAGGGAGAGTCCTTTGTGGAAGTAAAACTGCCAGATTATTTTATATCTGGTGTCCTGTGAGTCACAAAATAAAGATGTCATGCAGAAAAGGAGACCAGGGAGAGACTTGCTGAGAGTTGGACACCACTTGTCTAAAGAACGTGCTTCCTTTAGAAAAGTGTTCAAGCTGTGAGGAAAAGAAGGAAAAAAAGACACTTGTGGCTATAAAATTAGAAGGTACTGATGAAAGAGAAGCTGAGGTGGTGCAGTTATGAGATTAGTGAAAATGAGCATGTAGGTATGAGATAACAGTGATTAAATCTAAAAAAATAATTGAAAGTAAAATACATTCAAGAGTATGTCCAGAAAAACATTCTGGTTCTATGTTATTTTTCCATAGACAGGTATACAGGGAGAACAGATAAATATATACCCATACACTTCTGTAGTTAATTGTAGAATAATTCAGGTCAGAAGAGGTTTCAGGAAGTTAATCAAAGCTGGGCTAACATCAATATTAGATCAGGTTGCTCAGGGCAGTGATTAACAGCTCACAGTAAGTGAGGCCAGCACTTTGAAAGTACTCATGGCTGAAACACTGGAGGTGAATTTTCCTTGCCTATAGTAATTTTTCATGTATTAAAGGAGTGGTGTTTTACTTAAAATAGTATTACATAGTTTCATTGCACTTACTGTTTTAAAAAGCAAATACCTTTAAGACAAAGAGGATTTACAGGTCTCACAGTTGGAAGATAAATGAGGTTCCCATGTTCCACCCTTTTGCAGTTTCTAAACTTCATTTCTAGATCTACAGAGTAAAACAAGTTTTGTGACTTTGTTTTGGTTTTGGTTCTGTTTGTTAAAAAAAAATAGACATTTACATCACGTAGTCTTTGGGGATGTATGTTGTTGAAAAGTTGTAAAGTTTACTGCAAATATAACATAATTTTCTTAAACTCTACTTTGTCAAGGAAAAGCATTCTGGATAGAACTTCCCCTTCCCGCCCCACCCATGCAAGGATCCACTTACCGTACAAGTCCAGTTTCAGCTTTTATTCTTGACTTGTCACTGCAAAATACATTAAAGAGGAAGGACAGATTACAAAAGTAGAAAGTTAACAGCACGAAAATGCGATCTATGTTGAAATAGCTTATTAGCCAAAGTACTGATTAAGTATTAATTTAAATCACAGTTAAGGAGTTTCACATTTTTAAAAATACATACTTAAGCTGTTGTGGGTTGTTCTTTCAACTTCATTCTGGTTTTGGTGAGTATCTTGATCGCTGTACTTCATATCCTTCATGACGAGAGCAATTTAAAATGCACTTTAATCTACGCGATCATTTGTTTAGTTAGAGTCCTTAGAAATGTAGTATTTAACTTTGGAAAAATCCCAATCGTTAATTATTGAGAAAAGCTACATATATCCTGGAGAAGATTCCTTCTCTTAATCAGAATCTGCCACCAGCCAGTTCGTGGTTTCTTTCTGCTGGGAATCTTGTGACTGATTAGACTCTGCACTCTCTATGTTACAACCTGATCTCCCAGTATCTCTAACATTCAATCCACCCCTTATGGTTTAGAACTAGTTACTTTTATGAGTTGACTTAGTGTGTATTTGAGTAGACATTCTATCTTTATCTGAAGAAATTAATGCTCAACCTCAGGAGGTAATCTTCTGTTCAATGTCCAGATGCCATAAAACCCATCAGTTCCCAGCAAAGTCTGGTTTGCTTTGCCCCTTCCCCAAACGTCCATTTTGGATCTTTGTATAGATCAACCGGATTCTGTGATTTCTGCTTTTCCACAGAAATCCATATCAGAAAATGTGATTTGTTAAAATACATTTCTGTCTTTGCATGATGGAGGAGCAGATTGAGTGAGGATGTGCTGTAGGGAGGGAAGCTGAAGTGATGCTTGAGAGAGCAACAGAAAGGCTAACAAGGGATCGTGATGAAGTCATGCATATGAAAGGCATCAGGGAGCACACAGGAATCAGACGTGACTAATAAAATATCACAAGTGCCTCAAATTTCTCAATATGATTTGTTTTGTTTTCTTAGGAGAGGTAACCCCTGGATTGTCACAGGTAGAATATGCTCTTCGCCGACACAAACTGATGGCGTTGATCCAGAAGGAAGCCCATGGCTGGGATGGGTTGGACCACACAGTGATTCTGCTATCCAACCCCACGTACTACATGACCAATGACATCCCCTATGTCTTCCACCAGGACACTAACTTCCTGTACCTCTGTGGGTTCCAGGAGCCTGACAGCATCCTGGTGCTGCAGAGCATTCCTGGCAAAGCACTGCCCTCCCACAAATCCATTCTCTTTGTGCCCCGGAGAGATCCAAGCCGAGAGCTGTGGGATGGGCCCAGATCAGGTACGGATGGGGCAATTGCTCTCACAGGAGTGGATGAAGCTTACACCATGGAGGAGTTCAGGCATTTGGTGACCAAGCTGAAAGGTAACAACATAAGGAGGGGATGAGACGTGCTTTGCAGGGTCTGGAAGGTGGTCTGTGACACCAATTCAACACTGTCATGCACTTGAGGAGGTGCAGGGGGTATGACAAAGACAGTTGGAGGCTCTTGTTAGCTTCTTGAGGGTCACCCATGGAAATGTAGTTTTGAAAATAATAGTTTTTCCTCCCCTCTGAATTTCTTTTGTATCCATGTGAATGCCAGTGTATACATCCATGAAATGCAAGGGACAGGATAAACAAGAGAGCATTGCAAACTGTGCTGCTGTTTTAGTCATATCTTTTTACTGACAGCACCAGAACCACATGAAGCATAAGGAACTTGAAGGTATTTTATTTGTAATAAACTTGGGAAACGATCCACACAGGGAGGTTGTTATTCTACTCACCTTCTCTAGCTGTGTGTTAACTTATTCTTGAAATACAAACCTTACTGCCATTTAGATGTGTTCTTCAGCATCTAACATCACCATGTAGCCTCAATATTTATAATCTAGGGTGTACTTAAATGCATTCTAAAATGAAGCTGAAGGTTTATGACAATATAAACAGGGCTAGTGCTTGGGGGATTACACAGATAAATGGAGTGAATGTTGGAGTCTCAAATACCAGCTGGGATTCTTGTTATTTTGTTCCAAAAAAGTATACTTTGAAAATGGAATAGTCACAGAAAGGGCAAATAAGGATAATAAAAAGTACAGAGTGTGTGTGAGGGGCATGCTGGGCAAACCTGCTCAGTTTGAAAAAGAGAAAATGGAGGGAAAGGTATGAGAGATGTATAGGGTATGGAAAGCAGAGAGAGGATGAGTAGGAATGATTAGTTGCTGGTTTTTGTAATGTACAAACAAAAGGAACACCGTATAAAATCATCAGATGGCAGGTTTTGACACCTTTTAAGTTTTAAGTTACAGATCATGGAAGATTTGGAATATCAGAAGTAAAAATGGTTTCTCAGTTTTTTGTTCTGTGGGGGAGACCTCCGTGAAAAGCAGTTAATCACCATTATGAAGACGGAGCCCTGAGATGAAGTAACCAGAAGTGGGGAAGATGTGCTACATTAAATACTCTTTCATAAATGCCCAGTTTCCTAGAGATGTTTTGCAAGCACCTGTCACCAAAGGCTACTGTCACCAAAGGAGGGCCTAGATGGACCTCAGCTGTGACTCATCATGGCTTTTCTACTCATTCCCATTTAAAACACTCCTGTGGGGAGAGTGCAGATGCTCTCTTGTTCTAAAGTTCCACATAGGTAAATATGTTTGTGCCCATTAAGCTCATCTTCTCTGAGTGGTTGAAATAAGCAGTTTTTCCAAAAAGATATTCTTAAGTGTAGTTGATAATAACCCTGATTTCATGCAAAGGGTGGAAGATAAAATTAGTCTTATGGCATTAGGCAGGACAGGCAAAATGAGAGAACAATTCAGAACATGCAACAGTGCAGTGTCGACTTGGCTAACACAAGCGCAACTTTGATACACAAACTCTGTGTGGATCTGTGCAAGATACGTCTATTCAGTGATGGCCATAATATCCAGTATTTGCATGGAAATAGGGATTTGTCAAATCTACATGCTATGCATAGGTGATCTTCCAGATTTTGGAAGAGATTGCTAGTAATCTGAGACAGTGGAAGTGTCTATGCAGTCTGTAAGTTCAGATTCAGAGGAAATTAACTTCTCAAATAGGTCAACAGGTGTAGTTTAGTGGGAGTGAGTTTGTTCAGTATGGGGAGGACATTTCTACCTTTCTTTCCATCTATGTCAGCTTTTGTTTTGTATTCCAGGTGAGTCAAACATTGTTTGGTATGACTTGACAAAACCAGTGCATACAGGTCTGCACTCTGACTACATGGAGCCCCTGGCTGAGATAAAAGCTCGGAACAAAAACCACATCCAGGGCATCAGACATCTAGTGCAAAACCTTCGGCTGGTCAAATCTCCTGCAGAGATTGAAAGGATGAAGATAGCTGGACGGATGACAGCAGAGGTATGGGGGCACGTGTTCTTGAGATGAACTGGTGCCTTCCTTTCAAGAAGAAAGGGGAGAGGGTTGTTGATGGGGTGACATGGATTGGAGGGATAGCTTTGGTCTAGTCTGTTATGGAACTACTGTGTCTCAACCATTGGCTGGGCTCAGCTCCCTCCACAAGGCAAGGAGAAATAGGAAGACTACTTGGTCTGCCAGGTTCTCTTGATTAGTGTAACTCCAATGAAGAAAAACCAGCACCAGTTAGAATAGTTTAAAAGCAGTATCTATTCAGGAACAGGGGGTAGACTCTTTACTCTCTTCCCAACTTCTCTCCTTCCCAAAACCATTTTCTTTCCCATTTATCCTGTTGTTTTTGAGGAAATGGGATTTTTGGGAACACATGGCCTGTGTATTTTTCCAAATTTCCCCTTACCCCATAAAAATCTTTTGAACTCATTGGCCAATTTTAAACAGATCTGACAGATAGCCTCAAATGCAATTTTTGTGAATATTATTAAAATAGCCAAGTAGAAAAAAGGCACAGCTTGGCCTTCACTGAAAGAAAAGGTGCATAGTGCACTCCTATTATATGTGAGAAATCCATAGGTGAGACAACTTGTAAAATACCAAGCCATGTGGTCAGCTTCAATCCTCTAATCCATTTTCAAACAATAGAGGCAATCAGCCCCAAAATACAGTTTCACAGGAAACAGCTTAATTGGTTCTAGTTTTGACTGCACTCTGCATTTGTGGCTGCCTCTGGTTCTTGTGTTCTGGGCAACCTGATTTTAGGCCTTCCTCAAAAGACACCACATAAAACAAAAAAGTAACTTCTCTCAAGTTCAGGCTTCTTTGCTAACTGAACAGCCCTTGTTTTTCACAGGCCTTCATAGAGACAATGTTTGCCAGCAAATCCCCAGTGGATGAAGCCTTTCTGTATGCAAAGGTGAGTACTTAATGGCTGGAGATGAGATAGAAAGGCTGGATGTTGCTTATCCCTCCAGGAAACTAGAACTGTCAGATCTCTGTAATGTGCCTCCCACTGTAGCACATTTCTCCTTCATGCAACCCTTGAGATTCCTAGGATGTGCAGGGAAGTCAGCATGAGGAATTCTTCAGCTGTAGTTCCTGTACCGTTACTGAAGAAGCACAGTAGTTGTCTAAGTGTATCTGCTATTGATGTATTTTTCTACTGTATTTAAATACAAAACCTGCTAAACAATGAGAGATAGCTTCTATCTTATTTTATAATGCAGTTCTATTGTACAGGATTTAAGTAGTTATAACATCTGTTTGTAAAGGCTGCTCCTCTTGACTCCAGCCTCTTACTACATCAGATTGCCGCGGCTATCGGGAACTAGTGTAGACGCCTCTCAGTTACAAAATACAGACTAATTGGTCAGCACATTTTTTAAGGAATTCTATAGAGAATTCCAGTCAGATGCCTGTTTGAGAAACAGCAGCCAGATTTGACCCTCTGTTGTGACATAGATGGGCCTGTGCTGACATGGCATGAAGCAGCAGTACTGACTTGTGAAGAAAATTATTTTAATTACAGTGTATCTTACAGATAATTTTTTTAACTCCAGATCACAATCGTAAAACATACTTTACTACTACTACATACTACTACTAAATATAAAGGGTCTTTATAGATGTAAGTTTCTTGATTTCCATGCTTTTGTCAGCTTTATCACTCCAGAAGGGTAAAGATCTTGAGGCTTACAGTGCCTTTTTATGTGGTTTTTTTCCCCCTCAGATATCAAGGTAGTGAATGCTTTTCAAACCTTGGTTCAACAGAATCATGAAATTATATACTGCTGTAAATATGCTGGTACTTTGTAATTTTAAAAGACAACAGCAAAACATGACTGTTGTCATGCTGATATTTAGGATCTTTGAAAATTCACAAAGTTGTCTGGGAACTAAGAGCATTACTTTGTGTGAGAGCAAATCCTCACTTGGACTTATGACCACATACTGAATTTTTATACAGTACTGAACAGCTTGCACCAGAAAGAGCTTCCATGACACCAGATGCAGGTTTAAAACACTCTCTTGAAAACTGGATAGTTCTGTATTTTTACCTCCAGTTGTTGGAAAACCTTCCAGGCTGCTTTCATTTAGTGAATATGCTTCAGTAGTGAATACTTATGTGTTCTACAAATTAAGAAAACAGCTGTCGAACCAGAATTATAATAGCCTCAGGGCAGTTAATTACCTGAGTTGACACTAAGTCCCCCCCTCTCTGAATTGGTATTCCAGTTTGAATTCGAGTGCCGGGCTCGTGGTGCTGACATCTTGGCCTACCCCCCTGTTGTTGCTGGTGGCAACAGATCAAACACTTTGCATTATGTGAAGAACAATCAGCTCATCAAGGTAAACCATTTGCTGTCCAGTAACTTAGAGTGCAGTACTGTGACACACTGTCCCCATAAGTGTCCCCAACCTGCTCTTTGTTTTGACTGAACAGATCAAAAAACTTAAACATACATTTTCAGTTGAGCAGGGGAAAGGAATCCTGTCCTGGTTAGCTTTACTGTCAGTGAGAGATTAACTTTACACCATCTAGTCTCTTTCCTCTTTATGCTTTTTGCAGTATTTTCTGAAGTAGAAGGATTTGCAAACAAGCTTGCAAACAACTTCATTTATCAAGCACGTCTGCTCCCACGCCATGCACAGCAGTGTGCAGTGCTGGGTGGATTGCTAATTGACAAAAGAGGGGGACCGCTGCAGCAGGCAGAGTGAAAGCACTACAGGAGTCTTCTACTGTCACTTGCAGTGCTTGGCCTTGCTTTGCAACATGAGGCATAATAGTGCATTCCTG